ACGTGACGACACCAACAGGCCTTAAATGGACCAAGTTGCTGCCCGTTTTTGCCAATGAAATATGTACATGCAGTTCAGGCTCAAATTTATGGTTCTTTCATTTTTATGTGTTTATTTTTGGCTACGTTGGATCTACGTTGCTGTGTGCGGGCTTTCTCTAGTTGTGGCAAGCTGGGCTACTCTTTGTTGCAGTGCATGGGCTTCTCATTGCAGTGCTTTCTCTTGTTGCAGAGCATGGGCTCTAGGCGCATGGGCTTCAGTAGCTGCGGCGCGTGGCCTCAGTATTGTGGCTTGCAGGCTCGAGAGTGCAGGCTCAGTAGCTGTGGCGCATGGGCTTAGTTGCTCCGTGACATGTGGGATCTTCCCGGACCAGGGCTCAAACCCGTGTCCCCTGCATTGGCAGGCGGATTCTTAACCACTTCGCCACCAGGGAAGTCCCTATGGCTCTTATATTTAATCTTTTTCATCTTCAGCAACTTTATATTGTTTCTTTCTAGGCAAAAAGGTGTCTTTCACTTCTAGAGGCTTTTTTTTTGTTTTGTTTCTAAACACTTAACTTGGCTATTTTGTTCCACACCCAAAATCAAATCTTGTTTTTCCTCTTCTCTCTTTTCCAAGTTTTGTCCGTAGTCATATTACTTTTATAATTTAAGAAAGGAGGGGGAGGGGAGGGGGAGAAAAGGGAGGAGGAGGAGGTGGTCTCCCCAGCCACAGCCATAAGGAGTGGTGGAGACAGTGGTCTGAGGAGGTGGTCTCAGACCACCTGGGGGTACCCTCTGCCGGGGCTGGAGTGGTCCCCAGGCTGCTCTGAGGAGGCTGCACACACCCCTTGGCCTTGGGCGCCCAGATGTCCAGGCTCAAGTCCCCAGAAGCAGACCCAGGATGAAGTGCAGCTTCCTGGGTGGGGCCGGTGGAGGGTCTGTCCTTGACTGTTCCAGAACCAGGGCGGGCAGCTAGGAGCCCCGGGACACTCTGAAGGGAACTGGGGGGCCGGCTAGTCATCAGCCCTCCCAGCTGGCTTCCTGCCTGTCTCCCCGGCTCTGCTGGCTGTCGGTGGCTCCCCCAGGCTAGAACGCCCACCTGGTGGGCACGAGACCCAGTCCCCTCCCACCCCCAGCCCCACCAAGGCATACCCTGTGCCCTCGGCTGTCTGTGCCGGACTTGGCCTCTGGGTGCAGGCCCATCCCCTGCTGCAGCCCCCACTCCCACCTGCCATCACGCTGGCCTGGTCCTGGTCCAGGTCCAGCAGGTGAATAAGGCCCAGCTGCCCCAGGGGCCACTCAGCCCCACCCGCAGGCTCCAAGCTGTGTGACTGTGAGTGTGGGGGGTGCCGCTATCTGCCTGCAGCACGTGGGCAGCTCATTAGGGAACAATCAAGACAGCATACACTTAAGAATGAGGTTCTGCCGGGCAGATTCTGCTGGGAGCTTTGGAGGAGGCAGAGGGGGCAGGCAGGGAGAGAGCGACGGGTGAGTAGGTGGGGCTGGGGGGGCCCAGGGCCTGGTTGGGAGTCCCAGCCTCCCGTGGTGGCAGGCTGGAGCTAGATAAAGCTGCCTCCCTTGCTGCGTGGCCGGAGGGTGGGAGACCACTGCTCCAAGCCACCTGGAGCCAGAGGGGCACTGAAAGCCCTCAGGGGTGATTTGGGAGCAACACGCAAGGCCCACGGTAGGCGAGAGGGGGCACGCAGGCGCAGGCGAGCGAGCAGGGGACAAAGGCTCAGCACGGGGGCAGGGTTGGAGGTGGCAGTGTCAAAGCCATCCTGGCTGGCTGGCCCAACTCCCCTGAAAGCACCAGCACCACCTCCTGCCCCTGTCTTGGGGAGTTCAGGCAGCATTTCGGGGCCGTGGCTCAGCAGTCCCCGCGTGCAGGCATTTTTGATGTTTCCCCCGTTCCCTTGAGATCTGAGCTCGGCCAGAGCACATGGGACCTCCTGTCTGAGTGTGATGGGGGAGGGTCTCCATCCTCAGAGTCCCTGGGCCACTGAGGACTCCTGCAGGCTCCCCAGGGGCCAGATACCCCCCCCCGCCACTTTTCTAAAAAGAAGTATTTATTTTTGGCTGCATCAGGCCTTAGTTGCAGCACGCGGGCTTCTCTCTAGTTGTGGTACGTGGGCTCTACAGTGCGTAGGCTTAGTTGCCCCACGGCACGTGGGGTCTTATTTTCCCAACCAGGGATTGAACCCACATCCCCTGCGTTGGAAGGCGGATTCTTAACCACTGGACCACCAGGGAAGTCCCCTGACCCCCCTCTTGTCACCCCCAGAAGAGGCTCGCAGTGAACAGCTTTCCTGCTGCTAGTGCTGGCAGGCTCCCAGGGACAGGAACCAGGCTGGCTGGTGGGCTAGAGGGGCTGCAGGCCGGCAGCACTCTCCCGAATCACCTGCTCACTTTGCAAGATTGGTAGATGATCCCCCAGCAGCTTCCAAACACACCCTGGTCGCCAGGGACCAGGAGCGAGGAGGTCAGAGAAGAAGGCAAGACTCGGGACTGGGGGTGGGGTTCAGAGCTTGTGGTTTATTGACACGAGCACAGAGGCCCCTGGGACTTGTCCCTTGGATGGGGAAACAGCCACCCTGTCTGGGAACAAGACCTCCTCGCACAGAACACCACTTCCAGGAAGCGCACCAAGATGTGCACGGATAAACCCTCGGCAAGGCTGCAGGTGCATTTGGCAAAGCTGTGGAGCCTTGGGGAAGAGCGCAGGCCTCCGGGGCTGCCCGCTTGGGGCTGCCGCCAGAATCAAACCCAAGAGCTCATTCTGCAAAGGCCCACTTGGTCTCCATTTGGCTCGGGTCGGGGCCAGGCCCAGGAGCAGCGCAGCTATACCCCCACCCTCTGAATACTGCAGACGTGGCCAGGACACCTGAGTCCACGGTGGAACTCTAGCTGCAGGGGAAGGGGCAATGGGGGGGCCGCATGATGGCCCAAGGAGGACAGGGGTCACTAGAAGGTGATCCAGGACCCCAGACAGACAGCCTGTGCTTCTCCTGTGAGGCCTGCCCCCCATTGCTCTTCCCCCTTGAAACACACCAGTTCCTAGTCCTGGATGCTGAGGGTGGGCTGGGTCAGGGAGGCCATGTTTCCCCCTGGGATTTCGGCACTGGCGCTGGCCCCTCTCCTGGGCCTCCCCCACCCCTGCTTCCTGGGAGCCGCCCCACCTGTGAAAGCAGGGCTCAATAGCTCTGGCTTTTGTTTTCCATATAAGGAAGGCGCTGGCATCAGTAGCTTGATTCTTCCCCAGCCCACTTACTGTTAAGAATAGATACTAATAATACTTAATCACCCCTCCCTGCTGGCGGGGGGAGGGGCCCTTAGCCCTGGCAGCATCACCCCAAGACGCCCCAGTTTGCCCAGCACCTCCAGAATTCCAGTGGCGGCTGCACAGACTCAGTGCAACAGACTCAGTACAGAGGGGACACTGAGGCCCAGGGACGCACAAAGATAATGACCGAGTGACAAAGCTGGGGCTTGAGGAGGCAACGGAGGTTTCCAGATCAGTGTCCCTGGCTAGTGGCCCTCTTGGGACTGTGACCTGAAGAGGAAGTGGGCCAGGACTCGCAGAGCCTGAAGGTGCCCAGTCCAGAGGGGAGGATGGCTCAGTGCCCAGGTGTTGCACGAGGCAGGGCTCCCTCGGGCCCCCACCCCAACCTGAGGGCTGGCTGATCCCTGTCCTGGGAGGGGCCAACGAGGGGGCCTCTGGCTCCCAGAAGGCGGGGCATTCAGGTTAGGCAGAGCAACACCTGCTCATTGGGCCACCAAAGCTGCTCTCTGAATTGTGACCATGCTAAAGTTGCTTTCTACCAGGAGCCCCTGAGCACGTGGTCTCAGCCGCTTCATCCCTGCTGGGAAGGGGGGGTGAAGCTGAGCCTGCAGGTGGCGTCCCGCTGCTTCCTGGGGACTGGCCTTAGGAGGGGCTCTCACCGCCCTCCCTTCCCTGGGTGAGGCGGGCAGAGGCTCCCTCAGTGCAGCCGGGATCACGGTGTGCCCTGCATAGCCTTTCCTGGGCCCTCCTACTGCAGGTGGACTCTGACCGCCTCCATGGGACCCTGCAGCCTCAGGGACCCGGCACGAAGCCCCCTCAATGACATCCTCTAAAGCTTCAGCTAAGCCACCCACTGCCCTTCCCAGACCTGCCAGCCTCTGCCTGTGGCAGCCTGCTCACCACAGGGAGCCCAGGTCCTCCCACCAAGTACCCCTCTCCCTGGGCCCTGACCTCTCTGCCTGGAGCCCCTGCCCGGCCCTGCACTTCCAACCCTACACCCACTCAATGGGAACCAGCAGGCAGGTGGGCTGCGGCCAAAGCAAGGCAGCAGAGGCCGCCACCCACAGGCAGAGCAGGACAGACTCCCAGTGGCATCCCCCCTGCCTCCAAACACAGCCGGAGACCCTCAGGCTGCCTCGGCCTTGCAGAGCCCCTTCGGTGTGTTTCCTGTTGAAACCAATTCAACTACCAACACACAAGACCTCTGGAACATTCCAAACAGCAGCAAGGACCTGCCCACTGGCGGAGCTCAGTCCCTCAGCCTGGGGTTCAGTCATAGATGTGAGAGGCAGGGCCACAGTCACCCCGACTCTGGAGCCCCAAGGCCCAGCCCACGTTCTCATCGGCGCATCACAAAGGCAGAAAGTACTCTTCCGGGAAGAATTCTGGCCAAAATTATACCATTCTGACAAAACAAATCCTGCTTTTGAAAAAACTGAAACGTGCTATCAGAACCCGTAACAGGCCCGGCAGTCCCAGCCTTGCCTAGAGCTGTTTAAGGCACTTGAATGGCTTATTTACACCACCTGGAAAAGTGTGTTTCAATCCTGATCTAGGGGGAAAAATCCAGTAATACTGCAAAAGAAGTTTCTCAAAAAAAAAAAGCAATTCTTAAGTTTTCTAAGGAATAAAATAAGTGCTGAACTCTGCTTAAGTTATATGACACAACGGGTCCTATTGGCACTGACAGAACAAGGACAAAACCTGAAATACTGCTTCTGAATTAGACTTTTCCCTGGAAAAAAAAAAAAACCACAAACAAGACACACATGTCTTTGTCTGAGTGTTCCCTCCCTGGTGCACGAGGGGTGAGCGGGAACCAGGGAGGTCACTAGTGGGCACCGCAGATCAGACCCCTGGCGCCCCCCCCTTCCCCATGAGGCCACCCTCCCCACTTGGGAAGCCACTTGGCTCGGCCAGGACCTGCTGGGCACCAGGACCAGACAGGAACATTGGTCCATACAAGTCCTCCCAGTGACGGGCAGTGAGGGGTGGATGGGAAAACTTTGCTGGACACCCAGGCACTGGAAAATGTCTGTGGCTCCTGGTTCTGCCCGAAGGTCCCACACACAGAGTCCTGCTACCCTGCAAGCATGCCCAATGTCTTTGGTTTGGCTGTGGCCGCCGCCTTAGCCTCTGGTCCCACCCCTGCCGGATGGGGCCCAGAGCCTGTCCACTTCCTGGGCCCCTTCTCCTCCGTGAGGTCTCCTTCCTGGACTTCCTTTGGACATCCTGCCATCCCACTGTCACCCCGTCTGCTGTGAGCAGGCGATGGCCCTGGCAGCCACCAGGATGGGGTGACGCAAGCAGGGCCAGAGGCCGTGAGTGGCGTCACCTGCCCACCTCCTGCCGTGTCCTAAGGCATCCGCGGGGGAGGATCACGGGGACAGGGGGCCCGGACCTCCTAGCTTCTCGGCACAGCATCAGTCTCTGGCTCCAGCAGGTCTCGGGGTTCCCGGAGGAAGACCACCATGACCGTGATGTTGTCGTGGGAGCCCCGCTCCCGGGCGGCAGCCACCAGCTCCTCAGCCACGCGCAGCCCACTGCCCTGCTGCCCAACCAGGTGGCTCCGCACGAGGCCGGCCACCTCCTGGTGGGGGACCACGTCGAAGAAGCCATCGCAGGCCAGCAGCAGGTAGTCCTCGGAGCCCGTCAGCGCCCGCGAGGCCGTGTCCGCCTCCCCAGACACGTAGGGCTTCTGGAAGACGTCCCCTGGGCGCGGGAGAGAATCGTGAGGGCCATGCCCCTGCAGCTGTCCCCTCCCCAGGCCCCGGCCTGCCTGTAGCCACCCCGCCTCCGACACAGGGTGAAAAGGTAGCTTCGCAGGGTGCCAAGTGCTCCAAAGGAACAGAGCAGGGCGATGCGACAGACTTGCCCTCTGTCCCTGCGGGCAGAGTCAGAACCCAGCAGGGCCAAGGGCAGCTGCCTACAAGAGCTGTCTCACTTCAGAGGGGACACAGGCTGCGGATGCTGTCCGGGTGTGGCCCTGGCCCTCTCTAGCCCCTGCGGCTCCCTGCGCACCCAACGGGCACCTAGGCCGAGTCGGGATGCTGGCTCTGCCTCCCATGCACCCTCTCCCATCCCCCTATCGCAGGAGAGAACAGGGCACAGCCTCCGCCGGATCCTGCCCTGGGCTTCTCTCCTGCTCAGGCCTCCCCTGAGGGCTTCCCGCTGGTCCTCCTCCCCCGATGTGGCCCTGACATTCACTCCTCCCCAGGGCACGAGCCAGACATGTTGCTCCCTGACACGGAGCTGCCCAGTGGTCCCCTCTCCAGTCCCGGTCCCCTTGGAAGGAGCCTGACCCCTCCTGGCCTCCATGTGGGCCACCTCCTGGGGTCCAGCTGTAAGGAAGGCACCATGTGTGTCAAGAAGCACAGAACATTTCAGGAGGCTTGGAGGGGCCAGGGCCAGGGCCACATCTCAGGGTGTGGTGGGGGAGCAGGAAGGGAGCGATTTCTCAGCCCTGGAGGGAGGTCTGAGCCCCAGACCAAGGCCTGGCAGCCACAGGAGAAGATAGGGTGGGGGAGGGGTGCCGTTTTTCTCACTTTTTTTTTAAGGTAGAAAAAAGAATCATCAGCGTGAAAGGTGGGTAGGGGAGGGTGAGCCTCATTTATGGACTGTCTATTAAAAATTACCTTTAGCAAATACAGTAACTGCCAAGGGTTTCCTCCTAGATCTTTCTGAGACACTGTTTTAATGAACATAACAAGCTGCAATTATCTGTGCAGGATGCAAGTCTCCAAGGTGGCTACACCTGTGCTCTGGATTCACCAGAGCCCTTCTGCAGTCTGACTGATGAGCAGGTGAGGCTGCATTCCCAGACCACCTGGTGAGCACATTCCCAGGCCCTGGGGCCCCCTCCCACCCCCCTCACCTCCTTACCGATGGCTCTGGAGACGGCCAGGGTCCCGTTGACCCTCCAGCAGTCCATGTGGGACACGAAGCCACCCAGTGCCTCGATGCGGTCCTTCTCGTCCTGCGGAGACAGCCAGGGTGGGCCAGGTAGGCCACGTGTGCCGATGGCGTGCCCGCGCTGCCCAAGGGGAGACCAGCTGGTTCCAAGGCAGCACTGGGAGCCGCGGCTCTGATCAACGCCCAAGGGAAGTCTTAGTGAGGCAGTGAGAAATGATGAACAACCTAAATCATCCCAAAGATGCAGGAATGGCTAAGCAGGTGATGGTGCCAATGAAGACAGACAGCCAGTCCCCGAGCAGCCTTTTAGGGTCCAGGAAATGCTCACGGCAGCAGAAAGAGCCAGAGCCCCGGGGTCCAGGTGGGGATGCTGTGCCTCCCTCAATGGACCAAGCATGTGTACCTGCGGCCACTCTGCACAGCTAGATGAAACCTGACCCAGGCCCTGGACGAGCCCTGTGCCCCTGCATTCTTGTCCTTCTCACCCCACCCCTACCCCCATCCAGGCGCTGTCCGGCTCCACAAAGGACGACGGTGCTCCAGGCGTCAAGAGGACAGCACAGAGGCCTGGTCTAGCCATGAGTCCTAAAAACCGTTTCGGTCCTATAAACTCCCCTGAAGGAGAGGTTTCCCAGATGTGAGCCTGCTGCCTGAAGGGCGGTAACACAGCGTCTGTGCTGGAGCAAAACCCCATTGCCCCGTGCCCTCCCCTGTGGCTCCCACCTCTGTTACCTCACCTGGTACAAGGCTGGGGCATCCTGGGGCTCGGGGCACCCCTATCTTCATCTCTTGTCTCCTGGGACACCCACCGCCTCGGCTGCCCTCTCACCTCATCCTTCCCACCTGCCCGAAACAGCTTCCCCAAGGGCAAGCCCAGAGCTGGTGGCCGGTGGGTGGGTTCCCAGCAGCTTGGCTCACCAAGGCTCCCTGCCCACTGCTTCCTCTCACCAGCCCCACCTCCTGCCCACTCGCCCAGGGCTGAGGGGCTGAGTGGCTCACCTGTGTGCGCCCAGGCAGGTGGCCGTTCCTCCTATGCTCGCTGCCACAGGGCTGCGCTCTCCTGCTTCCCCCCTACCTCTGATGGGACTCGCTCAATCTCCTGCCACACCCTCCCCACTGCAGACCCTGCAGCTCCATGCGTGGCCCCCGGGCCCATATCCCCAGCCCCTCCAGTCTTCACGGGGTGTCCCAACAGCCCCCGCACTCCCAGGGAACATCCCACCCCGAGTTCCCCGGCCCTCAGACCAAAGGCATCACCACCCCCTCAGAGGCCCGAGGCCTCTCTGGCTCCCCATCCCAAAGCCTGGCCTCCCTCTTCTCCATCCCTCCTGACTTGACAGGCAGGTCCTCCCCACAGCTGGCTGGCGACTACAGTGGCATCTTTGTGACCCAGGCCTCAGCTTGCCCTCCGCTGGTCCGATCATTCCAGAAGCCACCAGATTCCTTCCAAAGTGCCTCCTGCCCCAGGAGCAGCAGCCGTTGGGTGCCTCAGCGGCCGGTCCTGGCTTAACTTGCTCTCTCCTGGACCCCAGGCCTGGCCTGCCGGGCCCACACCTGCCTTGGGATCCGGCTCTGCCTCCTTCCCTCTCATTTCCGCATCTCCCAACAGCTTGTCCATGCCCTGCAGCTCTCAGCCCCAAGTCTGGTCCCTTCCAGCTCCGACTCAGCGTCACCTCCTCCCTGAAGCCCTCCTCCCCCACAGCCCAGGTGGCTGACCACTCCCCACCTGTGTGCAGGAGAGGACCCTGCCCATTAACTCCACTTACTGCGCCGCCTGCTGGGCAGAGGGACCAGCTCTCCCCCACAGCTCTGGGCTCCATGTTGCTGTGACAGGAAGGGCTCGCACGCGATTCCTGGCAGCTAAAGCCCCAAGCTTCACGTCCCGGGACCCCCAGCCACTTGAGTCAGGCAGGGAGCCCTCCCCTGGAGGAGCACCAGGAGTTTCCTGGGAAGATGGTCCAGGGCCCCTTTACGTCCTAGTCCCCCTGACCACCTGCCTGCCCGGGGGCCCCTTACCTGCCGCTCAGGTCTGTGTGGCTCCATCAGCTTCACCACCTGCCCCTGCTGCACCAGGACCACCTGGGAGTCCCCGAGCCAGGCCACGTGCAGGGTGTTCCCGGCGATGAGCGCGCACACCCCTGTAGTGCCGCTCTGCAGCCGCTGCAGGGAGAGGGCGCACGTGGGTGAGGATGGCGAGGCCGCCACAGGCACACGCCCCACGCTGGCCAGACACCAACCCCGGAACAGTGTTCAGTGGGAAACAGGAACAGACCGATGCACGCAGGGACCAGGCAGCAGGAAAGGGGCATTTACATCAAGTCAGCAGAGCAGACTCTGCCATTTCAAGGTGTCAGAAAGCAGACAGGTGGGTGTCTGGGGAGCTGGGGGGCAGGGGCGGGGATGACCAAAGACAGAAGAAACTTTGGGGGTGATGAATACCTCTGTTACCATGGTGAGGGGCACACGGGCATAGACATGCCAAAAATGGTACTCTTTGGACAAGTGGAGTCTCTTACATGTTAATTACGTATCGGCAAAGGTGTTTTTAATAACAGAGCCTAAACTAAACAGCTCTGCTTAAGAGACTCCTTTCTTGACTAGAGCAGCAGCCCTGAGCTCCCGGCTGGCGGGGCTCCCACCTCACAGTCTTAGACCTGGAAGGTTTTCTGTTCAGATTCAAATCCAGCCTTGTTGATTCTGGTGAGGTCTGTGCTCAGAGGATCTGATGACACTGCCTCCTGCCCCCACCACATCTCCTCCTCAGCCTTGTCGACGGGGCCAGGCCTGAGCTCTCTGGGCCTGTTTCTCCATCTCAGAAAGGGACACGATCTTAGTATCCACCCTGCTAGGAGGACCCCCGAGGTTCCAAGGTGAGGTTCAGTGGGCAGTAAGGTCACAGAGGGACCGGATGCGTCCTTTCTTCTTTCAGAAACAAACGCCTCATAGCGGTAACTGCCGACACCAGCAGCCTAGGGAGACCTGCCCGGGGGGAGGTGTTTGGGGGGTGGGGAGCCTCAGGTGGACCACGTGTTGCTGCTTCCCGTTATTGCCCTTCGCCGATGGTGCGTTTTTCACAAATTGCAGGTTTGTGGCAACCCTGCCTCGAGCAAGTTTATTGTCACCATTTTTCCAACAGCATTTGCTCACTTCCTGTCTCTGTGCCACATTTTGGTAACTCCTGCAATATTTCAAACTTTTTCATTATTATTATTCTCTGTCATGGTGATCTGTGATCAGTCATCTTTGATGTTCCTACTGCAAAAAGATCACAACTCGAAGGCTCAGATGATGGCTAACATTTTTTAGCAATAAGGTGTTTTTTTATGGTACCTGTGTTGTTTTAGACGTAATTCTGCTGCACACTTATAAATGAGGGTACAGTGTAAACATAGCTTTTATCTGCACTGGGAAACCAAAACATTCATGTGACTTGTTTTATCCCAATATGCATGTTACAGAGGTGGTCTGGAACCAAACCCGCAAGATCTGAGGTCTGCCTGTATCAGTGCTGTGTTTTGTTTTCTGTACTTTACGATGTTTAGACAAATCAAGGGCCTTCTGAATCCTGAAGAAAGTACCCCTCCCAGGGCTAATTCCTAAAGAAAGCAAATGTCTCCCCAGGGACTGTGCCTTTTCTGCACAAGCCAGGTGGTCTGAGCCCATGGCCTCAGCCAGGGTCCCTTGCCAGGCCAACATCTCCCTGGCCTGGATGGCTGGGGACCACCCCGTAGCCCAGAGCCTGTCAGGCTTATTCAAACTATCTGGTCCTCAGCTTGTGACGTGCCTGCCTACGGAGGTCACCTTGAAGCCTTGGGGCCACGCTTTCCTCTCTCTTGGCCTCCTGGCTGACCCTGGTGCTCCCCATGTGGCCCTGCGTGGGGTGGCGTCTCCTCTTGGGAACCACAAGGCAGATGCCTCTGCATCTGTCATCCCACTGTACCTGATTAGGAGGAAATCCTGGGTGCATTTTAAGACAAGCTGCCCTTCCCCGTGAGGCCCTCACACCCTCTGCTGGAGTGGGGGCAGACTCACACTGCTTCTATTCAAGCCCCCTTCCAGGCACAAGTGAAAGGACACGACTGCCAGCAGGGTTGAGCAAGGGCCTTCTGCCAGCACCAGCCACTTTGGCTTCCTTCCCTCTGTGAGGCCTGGCCCCTCTGGCCCCACCATGGCTCTCACCTCTCGCCTGGCTTTCCAAAGGAACATCTCATCGGTGCAGCGGAAGGCTGCTCGCAGGGCCCCCGCGGGGTCAGTGGGCAGCTCTGGTCGGTGGGCAGCGACAGCGTGCACGTGCACAGATGCGTACCTTGCGGCATCCACCCCTCCGTGACCATCGAACACAGCAAAGTAGGCACGGTCCACAGAGTCCTGGTGGGGAGCGTGGTGGGGGTCACAGTCCTGCCAGCCCTGGGCCTGACTGAGGCCGCAACCTAGCCAGAGACTCTGGTCTGGGGGTGGACATGGGCACTTCTGGGACAGGGTGTGGCGGGACAGCACAGTTTCCACCACTAGACAGGCTACATTGGGGGGTCTGGGAGAGGATGACCCTCGGGAGCCTCAGCTTCTGCTCTGGGCCCAGCTGGGGGGAGCATGGGATGAGGGGAGAGGTGCCAGGTGGCTCCCAGTGGGTGGGGAGAGCAGGCTCAGCAAGCAGGGGTCCAGGTGCATATGGTGCTGGGGGCTCCCGTTCCTTAGCCCCTCAGCCGGGAAAGCCAGGGGCTGCGGGCTGCCCAGGCCCAGGAGCGCTGGGACCTGGCCCCCTGACGGAAGCCGCGGCCATCCCTCCTGTCTCGGCTCCAGCTGGCAGCCCTGCTCGGTACCCAGGGTCCTCCCCCGCCCTTGCAACCTCCCACTTCCCGCCCGGCCCTCCCCGCCCAGGCAGAGCACTCACCGATAGGCCAAAGAGCAGGTTGAAGGCAGGGAGGCACACGTGCCGGTCCTCCATCCTGCGGCGGGCGTTGCGGATGGCGTGCACGGAGACCAGCCACTGCCGCTGCGGGACCCGGGCAGCCACGGGCACCTGCTTCTGCCACTGGCTGCACACTTCCCAGAGCTGGTCAAAGAGGCTCCGCGCCAGGCCCGCAGCATCCAGCACTGAGGTGTAGGAAAGGGGGCTGTTAGGGAAGCGCCACCGCAGGCCCTCGGGGGCTCCCCACTCTCCACCCCCTTTCCGTGGCCCCTGTAGCCCGTCGCCGCCCAGGGCCTCCTGAGCACAGCAGCCTAAGAAACTGCGCAAACAGCCTGTGTCATCAGCATGAGAAGTGTCTGGTTTGGCAACACACACAAAGAGCACCTCCCCACCTCAACATGGCGAGGCCACGCCCCTCACGGGAGCCCACCCCAAGGAAAGAGCTGGATATGCAAAGACAATTTAAGAACAAGTACAGAATCATTTATAATTGTGCATTAATTAGAAATAATATACATCCAACAACAGAGTAAATTATGGTCTGTTCTCCCGGCGACGAATTAAGCTGCTATTTTTCACAACTAAACACGTTAACTGCCATTCGGCCCAGCAATTGCACCCTGGGGCTCAAATCCCAGAGAAATGGAGCCTAGTTCACATGAGACATGCGCCCGGTGGTCCCAGAAGTGTTATCTGCAACAGCTAAAAGCTGGAATCAGCCCAGACATCCTTTAACAGGTGAACGATAAACTCCCAAACATCGCACCCTGAACAGTGCTCACAGGAAGGAAAGAAAGAGCTACTGACACACAGAGACCTGGGCAAATCTCAGGGAACCACACTCAGTGAAAAAGGCCAATCCCATGTGATTCCATTTATACGCATACTTGAAATGACAAGATTATAGAGATGGGTGGCTGTCAGGGGTTAGGGTGGGGAGGGGGTATTACGGTAGCCATAAAGGTAACACGACATCCTTGTGGGATGAGATTACGTCATGATCCTAGTCGTGATATTTCACTAGTTTTCGAGATGTTACCATTGAGGGAAACAGGATAAAGATGCAGGGGGTCTCTCACTGTTATTTCTCACAACCGCACGTGAGGCTATGGTTACCTGAGTTTAATTTTAAAAAGTTAAAGGGTGAAACAGAAATAGACTTTGCAAGCATAAGAGATGTTCATGTCACGACATTAAAAAAAATTGATATTAAGAAAAAATGTGAAAAAAAAAGAGGAAATTACACATATGGTTTGATCATGAGAACGTGAAAAGCCTTCGACCCGCTTGGGCCCAGAAGATAAGAGGCGAGAAAGGCATAAACCCCATAAGGTCAGCAGTGGGCATCCGCAGGACTGGGTCCGCGGCTGAGGCTTTTCCTTAAAGACACTTTTCTGTGCTTTTCCCATATTCCACTACAACCAGGAGCTGGTTTTTAAAATTCGTCCATAAATGCTTTGCTATTTCTCCCTTCGAGAATGGGGCCTAATCCCCTCCCCTTGAGGGCAGGAAGGAGGACCTCGGCCCACAGACTCCCGAGGCCGAGGCCGCTCAAGGGAACTGCTTGCTGGGGCAGGGCGGGGCGGCTGGAGGCTCCACATGCCCGGCCACACAGAGATCTCAGTCATACCTCCGCCCTCAGGAGTTGATTCTTTTTTTAAAAAAATTAATTAATTTTTATCTATGTTGGGTCTTAGTTGCGGCATGCAGGATCTTCTGTTGCGGTGCGCAGGCTTCTCTCTAGTTGTGGCGTGTAGGTTTTCTCTCTAGTTGTGGTGCATGGGCTCCAGGGCGTGTGGGTTCTGCAGTTTGTGGCACGCAGGCTCTCTCACTGAGGCGCATGAACTCAGTAGTTGTGGCGCACGGGCTTAGTTGCCCCGCGGCATGTGGGATCTTAGTTCCCCGACCAGGGATCGAACCTGCGTCCCCTACATTGGAAGGCAGATTCTTTACCACTGGACCACCAGGGAAGTCCCAGGGCAGTGATTATTATAACACTCGAGGGATGCCAGTTTTGCAAGAATGGCTTCGATAGACTGATTTGACTGTGTTCTACTCCCATGACAGGGGTGAGCTGTTAAGGGCGGCGGGCCCAGGCCTGCTTGGAGGGCAGGGCCGGCCGAGATGTCCTTCCCCTTCCCCAGCCCTTAGGGCCCCCAGGCCTGGCTCTAGGGTGTCAGCTGCGCAATTCCTTCCCGCCAGCAGGTGGCGCTGACTTCCCGCTGGACGTGGGCGGAGCTGGCGGGGTGCCCCTTTGTGGGCCGCGCGGGCAGCAGGCTCTGCACAGGACAAAGGCGGTCTGTCACCCGCACAGCCTCAGGGCAGGAATTCGGAGCTGGGCTGGGCTGGGCTGGGCTGGAACGCAGCTGGGCGGGGAGCCAGAGAACAGGGTCGGGGGCGAGGCCACGTGTGTCCCCCCCCCCCATCCTGGCTCTGCCCTCCATGTGGCATTAATGCCGAGTTTAAAGGGACATAGCTGGATAGTAATTATGTGAGTGGTGGAGGTGTCAGGTAACCATCTGCAATGCATAAAAGGACCGAATCGACACATTGTGTGCACTTAAGTTACAGTTACAAGTCAATTATGTCTCAATTAAAAAACAAACAATAATAAAGCAACACTGTCCAATAGGAAATGGCAAAGGAGGGGAAATCTGCTGAGGCTCCAACTGCCCCCCACCCCCCCGCCCACGCCAGGGCTGGACCCCAGGACCCACCCTGCTTCTCTGCATCCCGACTGGCCCACAGCCCGCACCTTCTCCAGCAGGTGCGGAGGAACTGAGACCCTGCTCAGGAGGGGCTCACCCAACAGCGGGGTGGCCCACAGGCTCTCGCTCTCTGCAGTTCTGGTCCAACGTGAACCGACTTTTGGGTGGAATACAGTTGGAAGGAACTACTAAGAAAGGGACAGAAAGGCCTGCAAAACAAGGGCCCTGCCTGATCCGAGGCTCATTCCCATCCTGGGCTCCTTTGGCCGCTGACTGCTGTCCCAGGAACAGGACACAGGCCTCTGTGGCGCCTCCCCAGGCTCTCAGGGACCCTCGAGTCTCCACCTGACAAGGGTCCCAACCTGGATCAGCTGAGACATGGCCCGAGCTCTGGGTTTTCTACCACTGGACCCCGGGACCAGCTCTCGCATCAACACCCACTTGTCACCCGCTGAAGTGGAAGAGCGTGTGGGTGAGGCCCATTGGCACCTCGGGCTCCTCCTGTGTGACCCGGGACAGGGCTGTTTGTCTCCCGGGCTGCGGTGCTCACCCCGCTGGCTCCACGCTGGGGAGGTCTCTCCCTGCGACTGGTCTCTGGCACCCTGTCGTAAGCACACAAGCCCGGCGCTGCCCACAACCTCCCTGTCCACCAGAAAAATGGGAAAGGAAAGGGGGGCCAGGTGAGCCCTGACACTCCCCTGCAGCCTGGCCCCCATCTGGCTGGAGAGTGTTGCCCAATAAGCCCAGGGCCCCAAGAGGGAGACTCACAGGTCGCAGGGGCCTCCTCTTCTTCCTGCTCCGGCAACTTCCTGAACTCAGAAAGGTCCGTCTGCAGCAGCTGGGAAACTGCCTCGTGGGCCAGGCAGGCAGCAAGTGGTGGCGGAGCGCTCCTGGGGACACAAACCCGGAGTGAGGGGCTGGCTCCTCAGCAGGAGCCAGCACCCCAGAGCCTGCCCCACACTCCAGGCAGAGACCCCCAGCCCCTTTCTGCTCCCGGAGGCCCTTCCAGAGGTAGCGGTGACCGCTTACACTCCACATGCACCCACGACAGGCAGGTCGGCCTCTGGTTCTCGTGCAGCTGGACGGCCATCCACGCAGTACCATTTATGGGGCCCTCACTGGGGCTGGTGGGGAGGGGAGTCACAGACGTGCGAGCTGCCTCTCTGCTGGTCACAGTGGCCAGGCCAAACTGCCCGACGTCCAGCCTTATACCAGCTCCTGGTCCCCAATACCAGCTGGGGGCCCTTGGGGGTTGGGGAGTCCTATAAGTTGAACTGTGTCTCCCAAAATGTGTATGTTACAGTTCTAACCCCCAGTGCTTCAGAATGTGACCTTACTTGGAAATGGGGTCGCTGCAGATACAATGAGTTAAAATGAGGTCCCACTGGAGTAGGCTGGGCCCCTAATGCAGTAATGCTGGTGTCCTTATCGAAAGGGGAAATTCAGACAGAGACCCACAGGGAGATGCTCTGTGAAGGTGAAGACTGGTGAGCTGAGCCTATAGCCGAGGACCGCCAGCAACCGCCAGAGGGACCAGCCCAGCCGACGTCCTGCTCTGGGACCTCCAGCCTCCAGAATCCTGAGCCAATACGGTTCTGTTGTTTAAGCTGCCCAGCCCATGGTGCTTTGTCACGTACGCCCCAGGAAAGGAATCCAGGGAGCGTGGGACCCATGGGCAGTGTCTGGAAGATCAGGCTGTGTGCAGCCCAGGGTGTCCCTGGGCAAGGCAGGCTGTTGGGACAGCTGGTGAAGGGGAACCTGGGGAGGCAGCATGACCTTGGTGTGGCTTGAAGAGAGACATGATATAATCCAATTGGGCTTTTTAATTTTTATTTTATTTTTTAATTTTATATAATTTTTTTTGCACTTTGATTATTGTGCTTTGCATACACTGCAATTTTTTTAACATCTTTATTGGAGTATAGTTGCTTTACAATGGTGTGTCAGCTTCTGCTTTATAACAAAGTGAATCAGCTATACATATACATATATCCCCATCTCTTCCCTCTTGCGTCTCCCTCCCTCCCACCCTCCCTATCCCACCCCTCTAGGTGGTCACAAAGCACCGAGCTGATCTCCCTGTGCTATGCGGCTGCTTCCCACTAGCTATCTATTTTACATTTGGTAGTGTGCATATGTCCATGCCAGTCTCTCACTTTGTCCCAGCTTACCCTTCCCTCTCCCCGTGTCCTCAAGTCCATTCTCTAGTAGGTCTGCATCTTTATTCCCGTCTTGCAATTGGGCTTTTTTAGACTTCCTGGCCTCATCTTGGAGGGTGGGCCTGGCAGTGGATGGGAGGGGACAGAGCAGGCATTGGGCAGGGGACCAGCGGGTCCACAGTGAGTCTCAGGTTCCACTGAGGTCAAGAGGCCTGTGGCCAGTGGGCAAGTGGTCTGGGTGGATGAAAGAGGTGGGGCAGAGAGCAGCCGGAGCAGCTGGAGAAGTGGGGTGACCCCAGGGGTGCCACCTGGGGCTGAGTCTGGGAAGCAAGACCTCGCTGGTTGCTACCAAGGTCAGACAGGCTGCACAAAGCAGAGCTGAGGGTCAGTGCAGGCAGGAGCGGGAAAGCAAACAAGGGGGATGGGAAGCCTCCAGTACGGGACAAGAGGGACACTAGGCAGCTCCGGGAGGTCGGGGGTTGGAGAGACCGAGGCCAGTGGGAAGCACTATAGGAAATTCTTTCCACAGGCTCCAGGGCCTGCCTGCCTAGCCCCCAGCCTCGGGGGCCCGCTCCAGCCACAAAACCCCCTGGCTCCCCGAGTATAAGGGGTGGCTCCATCCCCCAGCTATCCCTGCAGCCTCTAGAACTCATCCTGCATCCTGACCTGTCCCCGAAGTCTGGGCCAGGTGGGTGGGCACATCCCTCTGGGCGTCCCGGTGTGTGTCTACAGATGGCCTTAGGGATCTACTGGGATGAATTTGTCATTTTTTAAAATGAGATAGTGACTCAGGGGAGCAGCCTCTGGACCTGCCTTTAAAAAACAACCAGCCATGGACTTCCCTGGTGGCACAGTGGTTAAGAATCCACCTGCCAATGCAGGGGACACGGGTTTGAGCCCTGGCCCGGGAAGATCCCACATGCCGCAGAGCAACTAAGCCCGTGCGCCACAACTACTGAGCCTGTGCTCTAGAGCCTGTGAGCCACAACTACTGAGCCCACGTGCCACAACTACTGAAGCCCACGTGCCTAGAGCCCATGCTCCGCAACAAGAGAAGCAACCACAATGAGAAGCCCCAGCACCACAACGAAGAGTAGCCCCTGCTTGCCGGAACTAGAGAAAGCCCGCGCGCAGCAACAAAGACCCAAAATAGTCAAAAATAAAAATAAATTAATTAATTAAAAAAAAAAAAAGAAAAACAACCAGCCAAGGCACGAGAAGTGCGTTCCTCTGCCGTGTGGGGATTTCCTGCCAGCCTCTGGGCTTTCCTTTTTCAGGGCGGGGAGAAGTGCACCTCTGCTCCCGGCGCTGGGGGCAGTGAGGCAGCTTCCGGCCATGGGGAGAGGACAATGCCTGGATGTGGGCCCCAGCCTGGCTTCCTGGCCGCCCTCCCGTCTCATCCAGGGGTCCAGCCCGGTGCCCCGAGGACCCTAAAGATGACAGTGATGCCTCGGAGACCAGGACCAGGTACCCAAGAAAAAAGAACCGCTCTTATCTGGCCACCTCGGGGTTTCCAAGGAGCCACCAGTCTAGAAGCAGAAATGAAAACGTACATCAGTGGCCACAGTGTCAGGGACGCACCACTTAGGGACCTGAGAGGTGACCGCTGACCACAAGGGGAGGACTGGAGGTAAATCACCGCAGTCCCGACCTCGTGATCTGACTCCTGGACAGTCTCACGCAGGATTCTATTTACAACCTGAAAAACCCCGCGGACCAACACACTCGGGCCTGGATAGCCAAGAGCCTGCACATGAGCTGCTGGGACATGCGGGTAGGGGCCCCGACCGCCAGACGTGTGTAGACGTGTGACACATGTGACATCTGTGTCTACACAGTAAAGAAATACTAGGGAAGGACAAAAATAAATCCATTAAAATGGCTGGAAAATATGAGACTTTAAAATTCCTTCAAGGTTGGGAATTCCCTGGCTAGTTAAGACTGTGCTTGCACTGCCAAGGGCCCAGGTTCGATTCCTGGTCAGGGAGCTAAGATCCCGCAAGCCGTGCGGCGGAACCAAAAGAAAAAAAAAAAATCCTTCAAGGTGGATTCATGGGGGGCCTATAGGGGCCATGGGAGCCCACCTGCACCACCCCTGCCAGCCTCAGGCTCTGGGGCTGTGAACCCTGGCCTCTCGCCGATCACCGATGGTCTCAGGCCTGCTATGTCATCTGCTAATTAATGGGAGCTCATTCGCCCCCTGTGCTCAGGGCCTGGCGCTCTCCCCACTCCCCCAGCCTCGCCCGCTGCTCGGCCTTGAGGGGCCCCGCTCCACCTTGAGAGTTCCCCCCTACTTGAGGGGGAAACTTGAGGCACCCGCCCTCCCCCATAACTAAACTCACCCTCCAAGGCCCTGCCCGCAAGAAGGTCCTCTCGCCCTCCTCATGCCTGGCAGGGGCACCAGCCCTGCCCAGTGGCTGCTGGGGATTCAGGGCCCCTCAATGTTCCTTCTGTCCCCCAAGTGCCACTGTGGTGCCTGGTGGGTGCCAGGCCCTCCCTCCTCTGCACTCCCAGCCCCTCGTCTCTCCCACATCCAGCACCCAGACCGCCAATGTGGCCTCATCAGGCCCCAGGCCCGCTTGGCTCCACTGATCTGCTTTATGGCACCTGCCTCTGAAATATTTTCCCAAAGCAAAACAAAGCAGCCCGCATCGCCCTCTGCACACACCACACCGAGGGACAGGTCACCGGCCATTTCCCCCGAGCTCCATGGACGCGGCCCTGGAGTGGGCCCGTAGCCTTTATGTTCCTATCTCTGACTGTTATGGGGCCTCGGGTCCCATCAAGCAGGTGTCCCGGGGGTGCGAGAGGGTGGGGCTGACCTGCCACGAAGAAAGAGCACTTGGGGACACGGAACGCCACCGCAGAGGCCGGGGCGTGTCCCAGCACAAGGGGTAACCCAGTGACTAGGGCTGGTGGGTGTGGCCCCTGGGGAGGGATGAGGTTCACAGGGAACGAGTGACCCACCAGCCCTCACCCATGAGCCTCCCTTGTGGCTGCCGGTGGCGCACGTCTCCCCCGACACCTGCCAAGCTGGTCGTGTCCCTCTCTGAACCTTGTCTTCACGGCCTGTGAAACGGGGACAGTGCCACCACCTCTCAGGTCTTGGTGGCCAGTGGACTGCCAGGCCTCAGGCCAGTCTCTTAGCCTCTGCCTCCCCGACTGCGAGACAGGATAGAAATGGGACCTACTGCTAGCATCCATCAGGGGTTGAACTGTGTCCCCCGGAAAGGTCCGCTGAAGTCCTAATCCAGTGGCTCAGGACGTGACCTTGTTTGGGATTAGGGTCTTGGCAGGTATAATATGAGGTCACACAGGAGCAGGGCCCCTAATCCAACAGGACTGGTGTCCTTACAAGAAGATGAGAGACACAGACAGACAAGGGTGACGCCTGGTGACAACAACAGCCAGTCTGGGGTGATGTGTCTACAGGTCAGGGCACATTCAGGACCAGGTGACACCAGAAGCTAAGAGGAAGGCCTGGAGCGGCCCTGACTTCCGGCCCCCAGGACAATGAGACGGGGCACTTCTGTTGCTCTAAGCTGCGTGGTCTGTGGTGCTTGGCGGTGGCAGCCCTGGGAAACCCACGGGGCTGGCTGGGGAGTTCTGCGCAGAACGTAGTCAGCAGGAGCGGAAGGCAGCCAGGGTCAGGGTCGTGCCCTGTGCTCCCCTCCCCCTTCCATCCTGGGCCCCTGTCCCGGCACCCACACCGCTCACCTGCTGCTCAGGAAGCCCATGGCCAGCTCAGCCAGCTCGCCTTCCACCTCCTCCTGGCTCAGCATCGTCCCTGGGACCTTCCATGGCAAAGGGCTCTCTGGGCCCAGCGGGGCTGGGAAGTCGCGGAGGAGCTCGTCCAGGAAGCTGGGGTTCTCCTCTGCCTTCCGGCTGTTCTGCTGTGGGGTTCTCGAGGCCATGCCCAGAGCATCCTGGGGGGCTGCTGCTGGGTCACTGGTCTTCATTCTGGGGAGAGACGTGAGGGTTGGCAAGAATACAGTCGATTGGCGCCCTACAGTGCTGAGTGCCTCACTTTCTTTGCTTCCCCTTGAAGCATTGAGGGGCAGGCGCTGCACCAAGTCCGGGGCTCCAGGCAGAAAGGCGGGGCCCCCGGGCCTCACACACAGTCCCGGGGCCCACGTGGGAGGGACAACCCTGAGAGGGGACCTGGGGGAGCCCAGAGAAGTGGCTTCAGGAGACAGAGCCCGGGGCAGAGGGATGTCCCGAAGGAGGAGGAAGGCATGTTCCTGGCAGAGGACGGCCGGTGTGGCCAGAGGCAGGCAGGAGAGGGACCCAGGGCCAGGCCATGGAGGCAGGTGGACACGGCCAGAGCAGGGGTTCCACCTGACCCCGGACCTGGGCAGCAGGAAGGTGAGGAGGTGATGCCACTGGGCCTGGGAGCCTGGAAGTCATGCCCAGAGGGGGGCAGGGCTACCTGACAGCACGGTGGCAGGGCCATCGTACAGAGGGCGTGTGGGCAGGAGGGAAGCAGAGGGTTAACCCAGGAGAGTCAGGGCCTTTGGGACATGGTCAAGCCTTATAAGTCCTCTCAGGAGGAGTCCCAGGCCTCCTGAGGCTTAAAAGGTTTGTCCATCTCCACAAACACCCCAAGCGTCCTGGGCTTCAAATGGGCTGGAGGACGGGGGATACAGGGGGCTCACTGCCCACTGAGGATCAGAGCTCCTAACTCAGCACAAGTCTCCTGGAAGAACAGAGACAGGACACAGCAGACAAGCAGGCATGGGGGTGAGGGGGAAGGGGAAGCAAGATGTGTCCTCAGTGGAGGGTCTGGAGGGCAAAGGGTGAAGAATTAAGAAACAGGGAATTCCCCGGAGGTCCAGTGGTTAGGAGTCAGCGCTTTCACTGCTGGGGCCTGGGTTCGACCCCTGGTCAGGGAACTAAGATCCCACAAGCCACGTGGCACGGCCAAAGAAAGAAACAAACACAAAACCTCTCTCATCTGTCAGCGAGGAGAATTGGAAGTTAATTTCTTGAAGTAGACACACATGAATAACACAGAAACTGGGGCACTTGTGATGGAAGGTTCTGGGGACAGGCTCCCACTCATGGCCATCCCTCCTGTCTGCTCACAAGTGAGTGACACAACACAGCTCCAGGCCGCAAAAAACAAACAGGGAAACAAATGAAGGACGTAAGATAAAGAACAATCAGGTGAGACCAAGCTAGACACTGTGTTATAAACACAAGGGTCCGAGACTGTGAGATGGGGGGCCGGGCCGGGCGCTGTGGGGGTGGTAAGGGCAGGGAGGAGGCAGCCAGGCGGGCCTGAGCCAACGATAAACAACAGGAAGGTGGCGTGAACTTCCCAGGAAGCTCAGACACCGTTGGGCAGGGAAAGAGGCCAAGCTGCCTCTTCTGCCTGTGAAATGCTCTGGCCTGTTGCACAGAGGAGAGAAATGTGAGTGACGCAGAGCTGCCCCAGGCAACACTGGCCCCAGCTCCCCTGCAATTCTGAGTCCAGACAAATACGAGGCCCTGAAATTGCTGGTGGCCCAAAGCACGCTCATTAGATACGTGATTAGGGTCAAATGGTGCTCACTGACCTCCCAGGGTGCATGGGAGGGCCCACAGCCGAAAGCAAAGCACCGAATTCAGGCCCTTCACCTTCGACCTCGCTGATGGTGGTGGGGTTTTTTGGGGATGCAGGGGCCTCCTTCTTGCCTCCCAGCCTTGGGATGCTGTTCCTTGGGCCTGCACCCCAGTCCCCTGTGTCTGTTTCTCTGGGGGTTGGGAGCCCCTCCTCTCTGCAGCACCAAGGCCTGGTCTCCGCTGTGCCCCTGTGCCCACCGCCCCATGCCCAGGCATGACTGTGTACCTGAGGGATGAGGGCTGCTACTCTCATGGCCTGGCCCAGCCCCACCTTTGCTAGACAGGTGGGCATCACCAGGACCTACCAGGCTTGTTTTCGCATAGCCTGGCAGAACAAAGGGCCAGGAAATGAGCCGGGACATGTCTTTCCTTCTCTGGGGCCAGCTGGGGTAAGGGACAAGAGTAACTTCCTTCCTTGCCATCTTCTTCTCAACCAGCTCCTGGATCTGTGACATACCCCAGCTGATATGAGCCCAGGGCCCGAGATGACAGCGGGAGGGAGAAATTCCTGCCCAAAGGGGCCCAGAGGCAGCCCTGGGAGGGTCAGGAGGGGCAAGGGCAGGACCATAGCCCTGAGCTCTCCCAGGACCAACTGAGGAGCCGGTCAAGAAGGATGGAGGCCAGCAGGCAGGCAGTGAGATGGGGGGATGCGGCAGGGCTGGGCCTGGTGTGGGGGTCCTGACCAGGGAGCTGGTGAGAGGCTGGGGCGGGGGTGGGGGGGAGACTCCTGAATGAGGACCTGGAGGGGGGGCGTGGGAGGGACACTGGGCCGCCAGCCCCCACTGCCACCTGCTCCACCGGTCTGGCCAGATGTGGCCTGAGGCCAGGTCCTCCAGCTCCCGGAACGAAGCCCCTCTGCACGGCTCATCAGCAGGAATAACGGTGCTGCAGCTAATACCCGCCAGCGGACTGCAGGGCCGCCACCCTCTGAGCGCACTTCCGCTGCCACCTCTTCTTGCACCCCCCCCCAATACCCCGTGTTATTACCCTCACCTGTCAGGCGAGGCATCAGCGAAAGGGCCAAGTTACCCAGCCAGGGTCCCAGTCAGGCCAAGGTGGGACCGCGGAGCCCGGCTGCTAACTGGACAGAACCCCGCCCACCCCTCATGGGCCGCCGACCCTGGGGCTGGCCGCTCCCAGACCCCTCTTTCACTTCTGCGCCCATCGCCCAGGTGCAGCCCTGAGAGCTCCGGCCCTGCCTCTGCTGAAATCCCCATGGCTGGGGCACAGCCGTCTTCACGGCTCTATAGCACTTCTGCTCGCATCTGACTTGTAAAAGCCCATTTTTCTTTTTTTTCCGTTTAAAATATTTATTATCCTCCAGTTTAACCGTTTTGACTTCGAAGCTCAACCAATGTGTGTTTGTACAACTGTGTTTTTCTCGGCAGTATGGACAAGATACTTGTCAAGTCCTGTTTGATTTCAGAACAGGAGTGAAGAGAGAAAACAGCAATCTTTAGGAAGGGAAACTGCATCACTGTTACAAAAGTATTCACAGTTAAACATTTTTCTGCAAGTAGAGAGCCTTATTCCTTCGTTCATAAACAAACACTGGGAAGAGTATGGCAGAAACCCTTCCAGATATTTTCCCACATATGTATACTTTTCTTTTTAAAACACTTACGGTAAACTATACATAACATACAATTTATCATTCTACCCTTTTAAGTGTACAGTTCTGCTGCATTAAGCACGTTCACATTGTCGTGGAAATGCCACTTTTTACAGGCTTGACTTCTAAGATTATAAACTGTACTCCCACACCCGGTCTCTCGGCTGTACCACGGCCCTCCGTGCAAGGCCCCTTTGTGCACGGCTGCTGGCACATGTGGGCAGAGGGAAGGTGTCGGCCTCCTCCCAACACCCCGCAGCGGATGGTGTGGGCTGGGAGGTGCAGCCTGAGGCCTGGCCCCTTGAAAGAGGACGTTAAGACACTCTACTAAAGGTGGTGGGCAGCGAACAGGTCCTAAGGACAGGGCGGGCTTCAGGCCATATCACAAAGGAATTCTAGGAATGAACGTGTGGAAGTTTGCAGAGTGGCCTGCATCCTGTTTACCTCTCACAACTATGCTGAGTACACGCTGTTGGACTCAGCCAGGTTGCAGTGAAGAAACAGACTCAGGGAAGGTCAGCAACCTGAGGCCACCCAGGCAGGAAATGGCAAAGCCGGAATCAGGTGGGGTCTTCCCACGCCTTTGTCATTTCCAGCTCAGTTGCAGGAGGAAGAGTGAACTGTGACAATAGGCCGGATATGGCACAAAAGCCAGCAGTGAGCTTCATGTTCTATCTCCCATGGTGGGAGCACAGCTCACCCACAGAACTCGCGCCAGGGAATGTCATTAGGATGTGTCACTCAGGACGTGTCACTCAAGACATGTGTCCAGCTGAGTGGAAGGCTGCGGGGAGGCGTCCATCACCATTGACTAGGCCCCACTATGTTAAGCCCTGCACTAAAATCCCAACAATCAGCTGCCATATCTCCCTGTTGCACAGAGAGGCTAAGGGGCTTGCCTGAAGTCACACAGCTGCACTGCTGGAGCCATGGCCTCCCTACCGGAGGTTCAATCTCATACGCGTCTCGCTAAAGCTGCTGTAGCCCAAGCACTGGCTTTAACTAAAACACCTTAAATACGCTTGGGGGAGGGCCGGGTGGGGGCAGGCCAGGGGTGGAGGCGCTGGGGCAGAGCTGCAGTCCGGCAAAGGTGCGGGGGCTTCTGGGGTAGGGGTCTGGGCACGGGCCCGGCCAGATGCTCCCATGCGGGCGGAGGGGAAGGAGGAACACCAAGCATTGGGGGCACGTCAACCCTCAGCACCCCATCCTACTTCACGGCCCTCGGCCACACCCCCGCGGGCCCAACCCCCACCGCTGCACCCTGGGCGCGCAGCCCCCAGGCCCGCCCCGGGCTCCCCGGGTCCCGGCTGCCGCCCCCGCTCTTCAGCCCCCACTCGGCTCCCAGCCCCTCGCGGCTCCCCATCTCGGCCTCCCCATCTCCCCAACCCGCCCCTGCACCCCTGGCGCCGCCGCCGGAGCCTCCCCGGGCGCGTCAGCACCCCGCCCGCACCCCGCTGCACCCCGGGTCCCCACGGTCCTCACCTGCCACTCGGCCGCCCGGCGCCCTCTAGCCGCTCCCAGCCGACCCCGCCCACTTCCCGTCCGGCCACCGCGGACGCCGCGCAGGCGCAGTCGGGCCCAGGCGGGGGGGGGGGGGGCGGCCTCTGCTGCCCCCTGGCGGCCCGCTGCGCGCGCCGGAGGCCCCACCCGCAGGGCGAGCGCACCTGCGGCCTGCATCCCGGCCATTGCATCAGGTCTCTACCTGTGGTGGCTGTGTAGATGGGGCGGTGCCCAGAAATTAGGCAACTTGCGCAGTCAACAGACGGTTAGCAGCAGAATAGGGATGCGAGCCCACACTGCCCAGGGCCCACGACACTTTTAGGGACGGTTAGCTTCCAATGGCCACAAACACACACATTTAATATCTACAGGTCTGAAGATCAGAAGCTGGTAAGGTCTCAATGGGCTAGTTCAAGGGTCATCAGGGTGCCTTCCTTCCTGGGAGCTCTAGGGGAGAAGGTTCTCCCTCCTTTTTCAGCTTCTAACTGCCCCGCCCCTTGGCTCATGGCCCCTCCCACCTTCAAAGCCAGGACCGAAAAGACCCTTGTGATGACCTTGGGCCACCCAGATGACCCAGGATAATCTGTTTTAAAGTCAGATGAGCAACCTTAATCCCACCTGCAGCCCTGACTCCCCTCCACCACGTCATCTAACAGCACAGTTCCAGGGACAAGGACCTGGACATCTTTGGGGGTCATTTTTCTGCCACCTTAGAAGCCCAGGAAAAAAAAATATATTTTTTGGCTGCACCACGCGGCTTGTGAGATCTTAGTTCCCCAATCAGGGATCAAACCCATGCCCCCTGCAGTGGAGGCACAGAGTCCTAACCACTGGACCGCTAGGGAATTCCCAGAAAATGTTTTAACGCCAGAAAAGATAAATGAACTTTTAGGTCAAAGAAAATGTCTTAGTATATAATATTAATATATTCATCTTTATATCAATGCAATTGTAAAGCATAACTTAAACTTTTTATGGAGGAAGAGCTCTCAGAAGCCCCACTGGGGCCCTGCCCACCTGACCTCTAGGCCCACACATGGCTTTTGTCCATCCCAGGAACTAAGGTTCACTAACAGGAGGATCTGGAGAACAAGCAGTTGGCAGATATGAAAGGACACCGTCTGGGGAGGGGGTGGGTGTGGAAGGTAGGGGGTGCCTGGACAGAGGAAGCAGGGTGGAGCGGGTGCTGCTCATCCCATTCTCCTCCTCACACCTTCCTAGATCCTATAACCTGTCCATCACCATGGTGACCCCAGCAAGGCCCACGGCTACTTCTTAGGACCTGTGACCTTGAATATGTTCCTTAGGTGCCCTGTGCCGTATCTTTACCAGAAAAACGGGGACAATAGCAACCAACCTATCTCCTAGTGCTGTTGTGCGACCCCGCCTCAGTGTTTCTCAGTGTGCCCAGGACCACTTGCATCAGAATGAGTAAAGGGTGAAGTCTGAGAACCACAGTGTGGGTGAGGCAGTCCTGGGACAGGACTCCACATTGCAAAGCCCATGAACGCTGACGTACCCATGGGCTTCCTCAGCAGGGCCCACACTAGACTCCTCGGAGCACTGATTCCATTCAAGGCTGGTGCTGGGAGATGACGGGGAAGCGAGACACCGCCGCCTGTCCAGGAGCTTGCCTCCTATTGGCGGGTGCTGGGCCAAGGACATGCCGGTGAGCCGACTCGTGCCCTGTGGCTTCTGTCAATCCCTCCCCGCTACATTCCATTCCGCCTCAGCTCCCAGCTCCGCTCCTGCCCTTGGGAAAGGAGCCTCCCCACAACACCCAGCCCACCCGGCCCCTGAGTTCCAGCCTCTAGGGTGAATCTACAACTGAGGTAGTGGTCCGTGTGTGGGCAGCATGGTTCTGACTGCCCCTTGCACAGGCTCCGAGAGGTGTTTCATGGAGCCTCTTCTTGCGGTGGAGCCTGGGCAGGGGGTGAAATCCCAAAGTGTGGAGGCCTGACGTAAGTGCCCCTCGGGTAGAGCAGGCTTGGGAAGGGGGCGCAGGGCGGTGTGGCTTGTGGGGTACTTTCTCCACCTGGCACGTGGGCGATTCCCTCATGTAAACTGCTGCCTGCCTCTGTCTGAAAGGACGGGAGTTTGAGAACTGAAATGGGAATGGGCCCTAAGGGTGCAGGCCCCACGCTCAGACCCGCTCCCAGACGCCAAGTGGGGAGCGGGGGTCTGGCCCGGGGCAGTGGGTGGGAGTGAGGGCCAACATCCAGGGAGGCTTCTCCCAGCCGCCTCCTCCCACCTAGGACAGCTGGTGGTGGGCAGCTGGTGGCTTCCTGCCTTCCAGGCGCCTGGGCTACCCCCAAGGCATGCACACAGTTACTGTGCCGTGTCTCACATGCACTAGAACGTGACAGGAGCCTCGGACTGGGTCTGCTCTCCGTTACGTGTGTGGTGGCCTCCCTGCAGGACGCGGGCAGAGCGGACACTAAGGGGGCGTGTGCAGGACGAGGGAGAGGCGAGCGGATGGGGCCGGAGGGCCAATGGGGGATGGGCACAACCCTCTGACAGCAGGCAAGGTCCCGCGAGCTGCTCGTTCTGGAGAAGACAATGTGTTTAATGATTTCTGTAACCCAGAGGACGCCACGCAGAGCCTGGGCAGGGCCATCACACGAAGTAGGCGGCCAGGGCCGACATCTTGTCCTTGGGTCTCCTGGTGCCTGGCTTCCCCGCTGGCCTCCGGCCCCGGCCCCGGCCCCGGCCCTGCCTCCTCCCAGGCCCGCGGTGCATGGGGTGGCAGGAGGCTGCGTGCTTCAGCTCCACCAGTTCCTGGAAGACCGGGTCGCAGAAGACGCAGCCCGTGTGCTGCGTGCCGTCACCCGGCAGTGGGGACCTGGCCTTGTTGAAGTCGACGTCCAGCAGGGCGGCCTCGCAGGTGCCGCAGGTGTCGGCAGACACACGCACGCGGTGGGCATTCTCGAAGCAGTGCGCCACCACATTGCACCTGTTGCAGGCCACCCGCCACTTGGGGCCTGAGGTGGGGTCGAGCACCAGCACACCGCTCTCGCACTCCACGCACTGGCCAATGCCCAGCATGCTCAGCGAGTGCTGGCAGGTGGGGTGTGTGCACTCGTTGCAGCCTGTGCCTGGGGAGGGGTGCGGGGGGGGACCATTATGCAAACACACCTGCCCGCCCACCCACCCTCGGGACCTCCACCCCAACCCTCATCCCAGCAGATTGCGCTCCTCTCGCCCTGTGCATGCCGGCCCTGGGCTCTACTTCTCTGAGACCTCCTTGACCTTTGACGTCCCCCTACTCTGAGGTTTCCAGACAGCTTCCGGACGGCCTCCAGCCAAGTCCACCCCCGCTTTACTTTGCTCCCCGTGGCCCAGGTGGGGCCATCTGCTGCCCTGTAAGCTGCTGGAGGGCAGGGATGGGTCTCCCTGAGAAAGGTGGTGACTGAGGGCTCATCCCTTGCCAGGGGCGGCCCCCTCCCACTGCATCCTCTCACTCCCCCCAGCCCAGGAGCATGCCCACTGCCCAGATCACAAGTGATCTGACTACGGTCAACCATCCAATCGCGACTAGGCAGAAAGTGGCAGACTGGCCGGCTGGGCCCTGAGCAGTGCCCGAGCACACCTGGGTCCTTGGGGCCCTGTGCAGGGAGCTCAGGAATGGTAGGCGTGGGGTCCCCTCAGAGTCCAGCGTGGCATGAGCAGGGCTGGTGCTAAGGAGGGACCACAGGTGCCCGGGGGACAGGCGAGCTGGCTAGGGAGGGAACAGCTCACCTTTCTTCATGTCTCGGAAGGGTGGGTGGTTGGAGCAATATGGGCACAGCGGGTAGCTCTTGCCCCGCGAGCCTGATGACCACAGAACCAGCTCGAAGTCGTCCAGCGGGCACCGGAGCTCCTTGTAGAGCTTGATGGTGCCATTCTGGGGGAGGGTGTAGGTCTCATCACAGTGGGAGCAGTGCAGGCGGCTTGGCTTGGCCTGTGGCAAAGTCGGGGGGGTGGTCACAGGTTTGTTGGGGCTGCTGACCCTCCTGCCCACCCTCATTCTCCCCGAGACATAGGATACGTAACATGTAAAACATAACGTGTAACACCTATAACGTAACACATAGTGCGTGATGCTAAAGCATAACGTGTAGGTAGCACATAGTATGGAGTATCACCAGGACCTCTCAGGCAAGGATCCCTGGTCACTGAATCTCAGAACACTTGCTCCACACGTACACAAAGGTGCTAAAATCCCTGCACGTACATTAGTATCTGTGACAGCAAGGAACATGTTGTCAAGAGAACATGGACAGTGCGTGTTTCAGTGGCCTAATGGCTTACCTGCTGCTGGGGGCAGCGGTGGGGGTTTGTTGGCAAAGCTGCCCAGGCCCCCCACGTCACTCCGTGTGAAAGCAGCTGGAGAAAGGCCCGCGGGGTGGCAAGACCGCCCATCTGTGCACACCTGCCCTGTGTGTCCCGGCCCCTCCTCCCCCCTACCTGGATGTACTTCATGAACCGGTGGCACTTCCCACAGCGGGAAAGGGGCTTGCCGGTGGCCGCCAGGGGCGAGAAGGACACCTCCATCAGCTCATCCATGCCTGAAAGTGAGCAGGGCGGGACTCACACCCCGACCCCGGGGTGCCCACCTCCACGACAGCCGGTATACCGGGCAGGCTTGAGGGAGCTACCGCACGGGCCCAAGAGTCTGAGGGTAAATACGGCCACCCCTGAGGGTAACTGAGCGGCGAGCGGCAGCCCTGTTCGTCACACAAGCCAAGTGTGCTGCACATGCTGTCACTGCACTCGCTCTGTAATCCTGACAATGGCCTGGAGCCGAGAGCCTGGATCTGGGAGCTGGTACCGCTGCTGGAGGCGGCAGCCCTGACCAGGGTCCTCTGGCCGACGAGCAGGGAAGAGGCGGGCCTCACCCGCAATGGAGTCCACGAAGTAGTGGAACTTCCTCTTGAAGACGTCCAGGGTGTGGCCCAGGACCTGGCGGTAGTCGGCTTTACCCTGGGCGATCAGGTTCAGCTGCTTCTCTACTGCACTGCGAATGGTGGGGAGCACTAGC